ATGATACAACTCATTTTCAAATATTTCGCAAATTATTTCATATGTACGTCTATCTTTGATAAATCCTACAATTAATTTATGTAATATTTGTTCCTTTATTTCTCTAGGTAAATTCCTAGTTATATATAATGTTATTATTTTTAGTTTATTAGGGATAGGGTTGTAAAATATACAACATCCTTTTTCTTCAATACATTGATAATAATTATTTATTTTTAAGATTTCCATGATCTCTATGGCTCTGATACCAACTCTATGGGTGCTACTATGAGCGAACAAAAATCTAATAATTTAATAATAAAAAATTTTAATCTCATAAATTTTTAAGTAATTTTTCAAAATCTAATAATGTTTGAGAATTTATAATATCAATATCTGTTGTCATATCTATGTCTGTTCTAAAAGGTATTTCATATTTTGAGATACTTTTCTTTTTTTTTTTCCAATTTATCTACTATATCTTGTATATCTTTTATGATTATTGACCTTACAATTCCTTTAGCGAAATTTTCTAATAAGTTTTCTTTAAAACATTTTAATATTTCTTGTGATGCATATAATTGTTCTTGATATCCTATCTTATCAATTTCTTTTTCAAATTTAATTTCTTTTTTATTTTTAACAACCTTTTTTATATTATATGGTCCTCTCTTATATTTGGGTTTTTCCATTTTATAATTATTCATTAATAATTTTTACAAATTTTTAGAAAAATTATTTGTTAGATTTTTTAAGGACTAAAAAAAAAAACTTTTTATTATATAAAGGGTTGGTTGTTAAATTTTTCCAAGGATATTTTGGGTAGTTTCAAATTTCTAAAAAAGTCAAAGGTCATTTTGGAAAAGGTTATATACTATTTGGGTCATTTTCATGTATATCTGAATAATAACCTACTTAAAAAATAAAATAAAAACTTGTTTTAAAAAAACGCTACTTAAAAAAATAAAATAAAACTAATTTTAAAAAAAGGTTTTTTAAATGAAATAAAAACTTATTCAAAAAAATTATTTTTGTTTTTTTAATTATTTTATATATAATGCAAAGTTGTCATTTTACTCTTTTTGAAATTAGTGAAAAGAAGTTAAGTGAACATGGTGAAACGTTATATGAAATTGGCTCTCTATGATTAAATAAAATTAAATTGAGTGGCTATGGTGAAATAAAATAAAATGGATTGATCACGATGACACTATTTATAAATTTAGACCGTCATTGATGGGATTAACCCTTATTTGGATTAAAAATAATAATAAAAAAAATCGTCATCTTGATTGTATAAAAAAAGTATCATCTTGATTTAAAGACGCAGAATAAGATAAAAGTATTTTTTTTTAGTGGGATCTTCAATTATTGATTCAGTTTTCAGTGAAAACATCATAAATTTTGATGACTTATTATCACTTCTTTGATCTAATGGTTTCATCCCATCGTGCTCAAACTCAGACCGCAACAGCAATGAATTTACTTGGGGAAATCACTGCATTAATTCATATATTCAAAAAGATTTAAAGAACAGAATATTCGCCAAAATCACTTTTTACTCAAAGAACTACTGAACTACGGTCTTTGTCCGTGACCCATTCCTCTATGAACCCCAGGTTTTACCCAATTTCAAGGCCTCTCCCTTTTTTTAAGCTAATTAAGCAGTAAACTGTTTTCATCTTAATTAAGTATTTTTATCTTTTTCTTGTTGATTCCGTACATTTGCTTTTGTAGTTTATGGTGTTTAACCTCATTTCTTGCTAAACTATGCGAATGAGTCTTTAGGGTTTTAGCTGAAATATAGGATTTTTTTCTGTTCATTTCATTAATGATTTGATTTTTACTTTTGATTTTTGAGTCATTTTACTAATAATATTTGTTTCATGTTGCAGGAAGAGTATTTGCACCGGAGTACGAGTTAAAGTTTGCGCCTTTAAGCCTTTCAGTACGGATTTGTTGTTTGCAGGGCTTAATTAATTTGATTATGTTTTTTTCTTAAACTGCATTTACCGTCGTTAATAGTATCATAATCGAGGAAAAAAGTTTTTCCTTCTATGGTCGACAAGAAGAGAGCCGAGTAGTGGTTATTACTTATTAGGGACTTTTGTGCATAATTTGACAAGCGAGTTAATTGTTCAAAAACTTATAGAAAGTGTGCTGTGAAGTGGTTCAATGGACCAAGATCTGGAGTCCGAGTCAAATCTTCCATCTGGATCAATTGATAAGTCCAGGGTTTTGGATTTGAAGCCGTTAAAATGTCTTGTCCCGGTATTCCCAACCGCACCTGGTATGTCATCTCTCTCAAGTCCCCAGCCAGTACCCTTTATGTGTGTTCCACCTACTGGTCCTTTCCCTAGTGGGGTCCAACCATTTTACCCATTCGTGATTCCAAGTGCTTCTCAACACACCACATCAAGTGTTCCCAACCAAGGAGGGGATTTCAGTTTTGGGACCCATATGCAGTCTCCTGTTCCATTGAATTCCTTTAGAACTCCGATAAACCCAGCGAAAGGGCGAATGGAGCAATCTAATAGGACTGCTACTTATGCATCAGGAAGTGTATCTATAGAAGATGGGTATGCTGATTCTCAGAACCTGAGTGATGTGGAGAATGCTAGCAATTCAGGGAAACGAAAGGGTCGGCCAAGGAAGAAAAGAGACAGCAATGGTGACAATGTTGTTGAAATGATAGTTAATAACCTTGTTACTTCATTTAAGCTTAACGAATTGGATGATTTTAGAAGAACCAGTGGTAACAAGGAGGTAGCTGGTACCATACTCTTGGTATTTGATTTGGTCAGGAGAAGGCTTACCCAAATTGAAGAAGCATCTCAGGTGATTTCTAAACATCCGAACCTGACGGCTGGTACAGTTTTGATGGCCAAAGGTGTTCGGACAAATAGCGCAAAGAGGATCGGTCATGTACCTGGAGTTGAAGTGGGCGATATTTTCTTCTTTAGAATGGAGCTGTGTATAGTGGGGTTACATGCTCCAATTATGGCTGGGATAGATTATATGAGTGTCAAACTTACCATGAATGAAGAAACTTTAGCTGTCAGCATCGTCTCGTCTGGAGGATATGATGATCAGGGCGGTGATGGAAATGTGTTGATTTACACTGGCCAGGGCGGAGTGCAGAGGAAAGATGGGCAAGTGTTTGATCAGAAACTTGAAAGAGGGAATCTTGCTTTGGAAAGGAGTCTGCATAAGGCGAGTGAGGTAAGAGTAATACGGGGTGTGAAGGATGTTAGCAGTTTGAATGGGAAGATCTATGTTTATGACGGCCTTTACAAAATTGAGGAGTCATGGATAGAAAAAAATAAGTCAGGATGTAATGTTTTCAAATACAAATTGATTAGAAAACCCGGGCAATCTGAAGCATTTACGTTGTGGAAATCAATTCAGCAGTGGAAGAATGGAAATGCCTCAAGGAGCGGGTTCATTCTTCGTGATATAACCTCAGGTGCAGAGAGTCTGCCAGTCTCTCTTGTGAATGAAGTTGATGATGAAAAGGGACCCGCTTACTTCACATACAATCCTATACTCAAATACTCAAAGCCTTTTTCCGCTCCTAAGCCTTTTCCAGGCTGTCATTGCCCGAATGGATGTCAACCAAGCAGTAGTAGCTGCCCTTGCAGCCAGAGAAATGGGGGATATCTCCCATATACATCACTAGGGGTCCTAATGTCTTGCAACTCCTTGATACACGAGTGTGGCCCTACCTGTGCGTGTCCTCCTAACTGCAGGAACCGAATATCCCAGGCAGGTCTGAAGGTATGTTTGGAAGTTTTTAAAACGAAGAATAGAGGATGGGGACTTAGGTCCTGGGATCCAATCCGGGCAGGTGGATTTATTTGTGAGTATGCAGGGGATGTCATCGATGCATCTAGGATAGGTGATTTCGGGGATGAAAATGAAGATAATTATATTTTCGATTCGACTCGCAATTATGAACCATTGGGATCTGTGCACGATGATTCTAATGGTTCTGTAAAAGTCCCCTTCCCCCTCATTATAAATGCAAAAAATAATGGCAACGTAGCTCGTTTCATGAATCATAGTTGTTCACCAAATGTGTTTTGGCAGCCAGTTTTACGTGAAAGTAATAGTGATGCCCACGTCCATATTGCTTTTTTCGCCATCCGACATATTCCTCCAATGCAAGAGCTAACATATGATTATGGGATGGTTTCATCTGATAAAGGAATCCATGGAAGAAAAAAGTGCTCCTGTGGGTCGGTGAAATGCAGAGGCTACTTCTATTGATTGTCAATGCCAGGTACAATGATGGGTGGATCTCGATACTTGATGCCTCTTGCAAAAGGTTGGTCATTTCCTCTCTCACACCATTGAACTATCTAAATTGATTCTTGTTCTCTCACTTTAGATGCTCTCATTTGTATGTATCTTTTAGAAAATTGTACTTGTTTAGTAGCGGTCTGTTCACTTCAGGTTAATGAATTCTGAAATATGCACTTTGAATGTTTTATTTCGTTAAATTTGTATATCTAATCATTGATCATGTCTAAAAAATTTAACTCAAATGGATATAGAATATCTTAAATAGTGAGTTTTATCGAAGGATTGAAGAGCAAAGGATTTCAAATTCTTGTGAGCCAAACCTGCTTGGATTTCCTAATCCTTGAGAGTTTAGTGCCTTCTTAATAAACAAAACAAGAACTTGGACAACAAGTCGGCTGTTCATTAGTCAGAATCTGGTGAATATAATAAGTTTTCTTGTATTTCATTTTGTAAATAAAACTTGAGCACGTTGGATTAAGATAATTGGGAAAGAGGAAAGTCTTACTTTAACCTCTTAAATATTTGCTGTCCGTCCTTTGTAGATGTGCGGTATGTTGATGAGTTCTCGTTACGGTGGTGTTTTTGCGCATGGTTCTTCGAATTCATTCAGGCTGTCTATCTTGATCCGACCCTTTGACCAGTTTGGTCCCTTTGAAACTTGAAGGACTAATTTAAGATTCAAAGCAGAACACACATACTGAAAGAAGTTGCCCTTCTGTTTCTTTACGGAAAATTTTCGATGAACTTGTAACAATTGATATCCAGATTTGATGTTCATAACAAAGATCCCTCCTATCTCTATTCATATTGAAAGTCAAATTCGAGAATGTAGGTGTATTTCATGATCCTTGATATGGACCCTGTAAATTTGTAATCTGAATGGTCTAATTAAATGCTTTTGCAAACTCTGTAGGTACACTCAACATAAAGATGAATGTCGTCGTTTTCTCTTAATTCATGGTAGGAAATTGCTCGTCTCGAACTGAAATGTCCGACTTTTTGCAGAGGTATGCATATGAACCAGCGTGTGTTCTCGATGACAACTGTAACTTTTGTTAGTTGTGTAGCACTGGAAAGTGGAAACTGAATTAGATGGAGTTTGTTAATGTTATTAGCTTCTTATNCAACTGTAACTTTTGTTAGTTGTGTAGCACTGGAAAGTGGAAACTGAATTAGATGGAGTTTGTTAATGTTATTAGCTTCTTATCTGTATATTTCTCTACTCTAATCTGATACTGGCTGCTTTTATTTACTTTACTTGGTTAATAACATTCGGTGTTTATCCCACAATTTTTTGGGGTAATAGTAGGACTTTGGTCTTGATTTCCTTTTCCAGGTAATAAAAAAAGTTACTTATTTTAATAGTAGTGAGGTTGGTAAGTGTTGCTTTTAAATTAAGTAACTCGTTTATTTCCGATTTAACTAATGATGTCTGTTGAATCTCAACTACTCACTTTCATGTTCAGATTGAAATCAACTTCTTCTTTTTTTTTCTTCCTTTAAAGCCAAAATAAGTCTACAAATTTCATGTACTTTTTAACAATTGTAAATGATTATTTATACCTACCTTTTTGAAAAATAAGTGAATTTCTCTATCGACATAAAATAAATATTTGTTGGTATCAGTGATGGATTACTGACAAATTAACAAATTTTATTTGAGAAACTAAAGTAATAGACAGAAAATATTTGTTGGTATCACCAGTGCACTTGTCGTGGTTGGATATAGCAAACACTACCTATCCAAACACTAAGGTAGTGGTTGGTTTGCATTTTCATTTTCAAACCGATTTTTAATTTTCCCTGAAAACGGCTCGTTTTTCGCTTTTGAACGTTTTTGACATTTATAACTGAAAACGTCGAAAACGATAAAAAGTCGTTTTGCGTTTTCAGTTATAAAATTTAACTCGTTTTTGAAAACGACGGACCAAATGCGTTTTTCGCGTTTTCGAAAACAGAAAACGAAAAATAGATCGAAAACAGCAAACCAACCACGGCCTGAACAACTGAAAAGATTATCATTTTGTTTATTCTCATATTTTTTTATTTTTTTTACAAGAATCCTTTTTAAAATTTGCGAGCATAATGGAAAAATATATATATATACTTAAAATAAATGAAAAAAATAAAAATTCAAGAGAGTATTATTTTGAAGTCGTGCTTTCAACTTAATGAAAAAAAATATTGAATATAAAAGAAAAGTGTTTGTGCTTGCACGTTACTGACTCACCGCTATTTATTCATTTCCCATTAAATAATAATTACTGCAAAGACGTTCGGAACATATGTGTTCAAAATAATATCATATATAAAGCAGCTTTGCAGTTTCTATATATTCATTTTAAAATGTACATTTTAAATAATTTATCTCTTCCCTCTCTACTTAAACTTGTAAGTAAAATAGAACATATAAAAATTACAAATTTCACTTTAGTAATTATCTATTTATGATAATGGTAACTGCGTTATGATTTTAACGCATGAATTCAACCTTTACCCAAAGGAGCGCGATTATTGTAAAATATTTCAAAACGATAATTTTTTTGAATAATTTGAAAGCACGTTCTTCAACTTTTAGGATATTTTGAACTTCCGTCTTTCACAAATTCAACCATGAAGTAGCTTAATAGTTACATCAAAGAAGCAGTCAAGTCTTGATATTGCACGTCAATAACAACATGAAATAAATTTGCATTGGAGTGATACAAAAATGTAAATTCTAGATAGAAAAGAAAAATGTAGTACGAAATGTGAGTGAAGAAATATGGTTTTAGAAGAACCGTTGAAGAGTTATATACCAAGAAAAATAGATGAGACGAAAGTGGTATTGAGTTCAAAAGTTGAAAAGTAGCGAATCACTTAGATAAATTGCTATAAATTTTTACATGAATTTATATAAGGTCCAAAATTCGAAACATCCACCTCACCTCACCCACCCCATTCCACGCCACCCCACTCTACCCTAACCCTTGACAGATTCAAAGGAGAAGTTAGTTAAGTGACATCTTAGAGAAAACCTAACAGAAAAATAAAAAATAATTTCTTTAATGAGAGAAAAATGTGCATCTTTAAAACACAAGAATTTTTAACGACATTCTTCCTGGGAAATCCCGTCTGTCTGTGCCAGGAAGAAGAGAGCAATAGGCAGCTGGTTCTTTATCATAACCTTAACCTCTCTCTCTCTCTCACACGCACAGACATTCTGTAGCCAACCAGATTTTCCATATTCCTGTAATTAAAACGACAACTCATGAAAGTCCAATGTTTCGCCATGAAATATAAAGACCCGACAGAAAACACAGGTTTTGGATTTTGATGTGTTTCGCTCACGTGGGATTTTGTTGAAGAAGAAGAGAAGAAAAGGGTTTTAAATTTTGTGAATAAAAATTAACATACTGAATTGATCTCTGGGTTGTTGGCTTTTGGGCTACATGGACCAAGAAAAACCCAAACCAAAGAGGCTTTATCAAGTTTGGAGAGGAAACAATGTGAGTCATTTCTTTTTGTTTCTTGATCGTGAAATTATTGCATTTAATCATTAGAGAAAAAAATGGTTTATTTTGATTTGAAAAAGTGGGTTTTTGGCATATGTGGATTCTCCCATTTCATGTTCAAGATCTTGCTGTTTGAGCCAAATGTCTGATTTCTTTATTCGAGGTTATAGTTTTTTTTACAAAAATGACAATGTTTTATGGCTTGGAATTCAAAATTTATGCTTAGGTTTCAAATACATATTCAATTTAATGTACTCAATTGACTTAATCTTTGTTGAACCATCTCATCGAGAAGTACATAAATTTTTTTACCTTAAATTTTGTGCTCAACTCTTCCCGCATTAGTTTTCATGAAACGATTACACACATACAATTTTCATAAATGGGAAATGGGAGATTTACCTCAGTATCTCTACTTGAACAGATTATCGTGTGTTGAATTCTTCGAATGAAAGTTTAAACTGTTAGGATAAATTCATTTAGATTATCGTGTTTTCATCGTGCCTTTGAGATCATCTGGCTTGCTATTCCCACAGACCATCTCAGTAGTATTTTGATAACGATGATAAGAAGACAAGTTCTGCAGTTGATTTTTTCATATTACGATGTCTTAAAATTCATGATGACAGTGCATTAGTGAACATTGAAATGATAGTACCCGTATTACAGTTCCATTATTTCAATCGATATTAAGCATTCACTTCGATTCCAATTGTTTCTTTGTACTGTTTAATGTTCCAGAGATTCTTATTTGGAGGAAGGTTCATCTTTGGTCCCGATGGCTCATCGTTGTTTTTATCAACATTCCTAATTTTAGGCCCTGCACTTGGTTTTTGCATCAAAATATTCTCCATCATCAAACATCAAGAATACAAACATGCAATGTATTGGTATTCGGTACTTATCGTGGCAGTAGTTTTAACCATTCTGGTAAGTAAACATCAATAATCATATAAGTTAAAATTATTTATCATATTCTGCTGAGGGAGCATGCACCCTCAGGAAACTATTAATATTTTTCTGATCACATGGTTTGTGTATTTTCTTTATGGGTGACGAAGATTGACAAAGGTGCTAGACTTATAGACACTATATGGAATTGAAGTGCAACTTATCTGTTAAAATTCGGATTTGTTTTAGTTTTTTATTGTTGGCAATTTAAACATGGTTAATTATTTCATTGCAAGATAGCATTCAACTCTAGCATGGTTAAAAGTTTCAATACAAATTCCTTGAAATTAAAAAAAATGCAAGGGAAATTTCAAAACTATAGCTAAGATTTTCAATAAAATCAATTCTGTTTTAAGTTCTTCTTTTAAAGCAATCAGTATGAGAGGAATTTATATAATATAAACAAGTTTTCTTCACAAAAAGTGAAGATTGAATAATTTTTTTTTTCTTTTTTAAATCAAAGAATTAGTTTATGTGAAATTTACAAAGTTTTCAGGGCTTTCCAACATCGTTTGTAGTTAGTATATCATTGTAATTAGTTAAGCAACAGGACAAGAATTGAATAATAGTGTTATCCTGCCTTAAATTTCACTAAGAGAATGTTTTCTTGATATCCAGTTCTTCTAAATACTTGAATAGAACTGAGATTAAGGCGCTTTGAATATCTTATCAAATTTGGATAGCTTGCTGATATTTGGATTTAATGCAGGATATAATGTTTCTCTGCCTAACATCCAGCAGAGATCCTGGGATTGTACCTCGGAATTCAAGACCTCCCGAGTGTGATGAAACATTTGAGATAAGCACCCCTTCAATGGAGTGGGTCAATGGGAGGACTCCTCATTTAAAACTTCCCCGAATGAAGGATGTGATTGTGAATGAGCATACTGTTAAAGTGAAGTTCTGTGAAACATGTTTGCTTTATCGTCCTCCCCGTGCGTCTCATTGCTCCATCTGCAACAATTGTGTTCAGAGATTTGATCATCACTGTCCATGGGTCGGTCAATGCATTGGCATAGTAAGTATTGTACCGTGATTGATTGGATATATGGTGTTATTGGGTTTAATACACTGGTTGTTTCTAAACTATTAGTGATCCATCTTGTTGGTTACTGACTTTGTTTTCTTTCAAGTTGATAACTAAAGTTAAACTTTGTTATATTTTGATCACCCATGTCTGTTTCTCCGTTAGTTTGGCTAACACAAAAGATGATGTGGCAGGCTAGTTCTTTGTAACTAGCTACCAACTAGATGGCCACATCAAATTTTCCTTTAGTCAAACTAACAAAGGTGGATGGAATGAACTAATTGTAACTAAATTTTAATTCCATTGTCCAAGTTGATACAAAACAAATTTACTGACAACATGAAACATCGCTAAAAGTTCCACAATTACAAGTGTTTTCATCCTGTTCTTATATGAGCTTATTCTGTCAACTCTATAGTTTCCATTCACCTTTATAATATTTGGCTGGCAATTATCTTGGTGTTGATAAAATCAATGATTATTTTCAACTTGGTTTGAATAAATGTAAGAGATACTTTGTCCTGTGATAATTCTGTTATCGTAGTTTATATGAAATCATTTTGAGCTAGCTGTTTACTATTTTTATCTCCACGTTGAATCTCTTATATGCATGGGAAAATTATCAATGAAATTGTTACTAAAAATCCTGGCCATGATAATGTGTTCTGGTCATGCAATTAAGTTGCAACTTCAATACATAAATCATTTAACGGGCCACGGTTTCTTGACACTATGATTCTGATACTCCATCCCTTGTTCATCACGAGAAAATTGTTTATGTGGTAACACTAATTTTGAGTTGTGTTTACCATGGACAACAACTAAGAAAGAGCATCTTTGAGCTTCTCAGTCTTGTCATTCTAGACATTCTTGATTCTCGAGGAAGAAAGTTAAGATCACGTACAAATGATTAGATACTTCATGCATTTTTCATGCTTGAGTTTTATTGATACATCTAAATCTTACAATCTCCTTATGAAAGAATAGTCAAAATTTTCACAACAGATTCATCATCATTGCACCTAAATCAGGCACTCTATTACAAGGATATAAACTTCACAGAGTTGCTATTTTCTTAACTATGGGGAGTATTAGACTCCGAGAAGTGGGAGAATAAATAGAGCTACATGACTTCTTAGTATTCTTTCACTGTTCCTTCAGAGTTGGAATTATCCTTCTGCTGCCCCCACCCTCAGAAAAATAAAAAAAATTGTCTTGTTTCTGCTGCACTGTGTTGAGGATATAATGAAGGTTTTTTCCCTAAGATATTTAAACACTTGAGATGATCATTTTGATATATTTTGCTTCTCATTCGTTTAATTATAAATTCACGGAGAAAATTAGAGGATGTTACACAGACACGAGGTGTATGATCTCTACCGATATGAAATGAACTCATCTCTTTTTCATTTGAATATATGTCATTGCAAAATTATGATAACTGGAAAATACTTCATCGAGAAAACTTTAAGCAATGAACTCAATATTATCAAATAGTCAGGAATATTGATGGAACACTTTGATCTCATTTGGTTTGGCACTTACTATTCTTTCATGAGTAACAGGAACATCTTTCATGCTGTTTTTGCAGCGTAATTATCGCTTCTTCTATATGTTTATATCAACATCAACGATTTTATGTGTATATGTCTTCGTGTTCTCTTGGATCAACATTCTTCATCAAAAAGGCAGCATGCGGAAAGCCATGTCACATGATATTCTATCAGACGTGCTAATAGTGTACTGCTTCATTGCTGTTTGGTTCGTGGGCGGCCTTACAGTTTTCCACTTCTATCTGATTTGCACAAATCAGGTGAGTTTTCTCTTAAAGTTTCCCGGAAATTTCATTAACTGGAAATATATTGATTACTTTTTCCTATTTGCTACTGAATGTGACATATAGCATAATTTTTTTTGCATGCCTATTCTAACTTATTATGCTGCGTTCATAGGTCATCTGTATAATACTATCATACTTGACTTGCTTCATCAGTGCATATTTGAGAGGAGAGCTTATTTTGTTTCTTGATCAGTTACTTCTTAGACACATGAAATCACAAATCAATGCACATAAATAAGTCCATTTTTCCAACGTTTGGTGGCAAATAATGTCTATTTTTTCCATTAGATGTAGGCTTGCATCACATATAAAACTCTTAATTCTAGCTCCTTTGCAGACTACGTATGAAAACTTCAGATATCGTTATGATAAGAAGGAAAACCCATACAATAAAGGGGTGATCAGAAACCTCAGAGAAGTCTTTTTCTCAAAAATCCCACAGTCCATGAATGAATTCCGAGCATACATCGAAGAAGATGAAAGCGTGGGAATGGATCCCACAGCTGCTATGTTCATGGGAAGTATCACTACCTCAAAAGAAAAAATTGATATCGAAATGGGAGCTAAGTTTGCAGAGGAGAATGGCCTTTCACTTCCTGAGATTTTGAGAGTTTTGGAATATGATGACATTGAGATTAATATGAAAGAGGAGGGGAATGACAGAACTGATTCGGATCCACTTCTCTTTCTGGATGAACAAGAACTCAAGGATGGGGCTAATGGCAAGGAGAAACTAGATGAAGTAACAACCTCTGATCAAATCACGGGATCATGTCAAACATAAGTTTTTAGGTATTTTTCATTTCTTTATATATGGACACAGTGCAATGTTCATTTTTCTTTGAACTCTTGGCCAGTAATGCTTCCATTCTACTACGTTTATTCACTCACGAATCAAGGAAATGCTTGTTTTGAAGGATATGAGATACGTTGTTTTTAACAGTCACGCTGATGCCTGACAAACTTGTAAGCAGTTATCTGTGTTAAAGATATGGAAATATCGTCTTCGTTGTATTTTCATGACTTATCATATTGTTTCTCTGATAGTTTGATTGTGTAATTAATGTTGGTCTTTCTCTTTGTAATTTTTTCAATTATGGTCTACAGTTTCTAACTGTATGTAGTATTTTGAAAGAAACAAGACGAATTTCATTTGTACACTTTGCATATTTTGTCATAACGGTTCAAGACTCGTGTTTATTCATTTTCTTCAAGAGCTATAAAGTGGCGGTTTGCCTGGGGGCATCAAGATTGATGATTCTAGCTTCGCTAAAATTATCATCTCCACGGGAAAAAATGTGATCCTTTAGCCCGTCGATCTCAAATGCCTGGGTATCATCGAATAAATGTCAAAACTAAAACAATAAAGCGGCCCCTCGAGACATATCCCAGTGGTGCAATAGATAGGAGTAAGGTAGTCTCAGTCTTGCTGGTAGCTGCAGTGTGAAAGTTCGATTCCTAAAATATGGAATTAGACTCTTTGTGGACACCAGTGTACAGGCAAGCTCTTGTTCTCTGGCCTGTTAGGGTACATCTCGTGATTTACCTCCCTCACGATACTCCAGGGATGGGACAATGGGGGCTCTCAAAATTGGGGTTCAACCTTTAAAACAATAAAGCAAAGTATAGAATGCTACCAGAGTATATAATAAACCATGACATATTTAGAACACAAAAAATTCAGCTTTAATACATTCTTGTCGTCATTCTTCTTTTCAGATTGGTTTTTTTCTTCGGTCCACGGGTTAAGGATAAAGTGGCCTATTGATATTTCTCGAAGAATCCACCATATTTTTCAAATCTTAATGAGATATTTCATTTTCTTGACAGGTAAATGGTATAAGGAGATCTGTTTCTTCAAGAAAATCAGATCTGTACTGTGAGATACAAGCAAGCATGCTATAGGAACAAGCTCACTGACAGACTGTTTTACACATACACTTGGTGAAATTTCATTTGCAATTATTAAAAATAAATTAATTAGAAGAAAAAGTTGCCAATCAAAAACTGCCAACTCATCCCCTGTAAATAAGCCTTGTCATTGAGCTTGTTTAGCTAGTTTAATTCAGATACAAGAAAGTCTCGAAGGTACAAAAATAATTTAGAATCTTGCAACAGAATGAGTGACCTGTAATGGTGAAACTTGTAGAAAGGTTGATATCTAGTGTTTCACTTGTTCTTCATTTTTATTTTTTTGAACTTCATGTTTTCTTGATTTTGTTTCTTGATATCCATTATTCATTCTTAGATTCAAAAATAAGGTTGCAGGGCATTGACAAAATTGTACAATATAGAGACTGAATGTTTATTTGAATCTTTGTTTAGAATGAATCTTAGTCCCTGTTTGTTTCTCATTTTTAGAAGAATGAAAATAAAAAATATAGTCGTTATTGATCCCACACAAGAGATAAAAATTCAAATTTGGCAGCTTGATGTAATTAATAACGGTCATATTTTTCATTTTAAAGAGGAAAGAATATGAACCAAAAATGGACTACTTTTTCCCGAGTTGAATTTACTGGTGAAATAGCCATTTTTGCACAGCATGAAATGATAGAACTACTAGTGGGCTTAAATTCACGGCATAATTGGTAAAGTAAATTGGACAATACTCGACAGCAAAAAACTCAGAAGCGAAACCACCCCTGTAATGAAGCAGACCTAACATGCCATGTGTCAAACTTGTTTGGAAAATTACTGTGCATAAATTCTATTCTGATAACTAACCTTTTACTTGCGTAAAATTGGACGGGATTTTGATTTACCAAAATCAAATATGTAAAAATATAAATGAGAAATGCATGAATATGAATTTGGACTCTTTCTCCTTAAGACGATAATGTCCCGCAAATGTGATAATGGTTTTCTGACATTGATCTTTCAACATTCAATGACCAAATCTTGCAATAGGAGGACTCCAAAACGTAGACCAACAAATCTACTTATATTTTGAACTCTCTTTATAGAAAACTCGACTCAAAATAAATGCTAAAATATTTTGAAGCAAATATGCATTAACATGATAATGCAAGAATGAATTGAATGGATGAAAATTCCAAAAACAAGGGGTTCTCTATATAGTTGTTGCAAAGTTGTGTCTCAAAAGTCCACCCCTACAAGAAAATACAACCATTGAAATTAGTCTCTATATACAAAGAGATTCGGTTGTCGAAAAATAATAATTCCAAAAGTCATGATTTTTCATATGGAAAGACTCACACTTTTAGCCAAACGATTCTAGAATACTTGATTTTTCAACAACTTCACGTATTTAAGTGACTTAATTTTTCATTTACGATAATTTTCACTTAAATAATTATTACAAAATTCCAACAAAACTTACATTCTGAATCCTAGATTTCATTGGATGATAAATTAAGCCCCTGTTTAGGCTTTTTTTTTTTTTTTCAAAATACATTTTTTCAAAACTCATTTTCAAGTTTCAACCTCACATTCTTCCATAAAATAATATTATACATAAATTCAAAACTTTCTTTATCTTTTAATCATACATTATCCAAAAAAACACTATTTCAAAATTCATTTTTCTCCCAATAAAACATTAAAATGGAGTCCAAACAGGGGGTGAAAATATATATATATATATATATATATATATAACATTATATTTTGTTTATTAAAACATAATTTAACAAAATTTTTACTAAACATAGTATTCATTAGTTTATAAAATAATTTCAAATATTGTAGAAGAAATAATTTTTTTTAACTTTTAAGTACTTATTTAATCTTAATGATTGTTTTCCTGTTATTCTATTATGCTCTGAACGAAATAACAGAACAACGCAGAATCCGTTATTTTTTTAACTACTTTCCGTCTCTTAAGGTATCTCTCTCGGCACACATTTATCTGGTCTCAAGTACAATTTATCGAATCATTTCTGATTTTGGATCTTGATTGTAGGTTTTAAGGGTCGGAGGCATTGGTTTGATCGATTCGAGGTTTGGTTTTGAGAGTAGATTCAAGGTAGAGTACGATTTTGG